AAGTTCAGTGACGCAGGTAGTGACGATTCTCTCCGGCCAATCAGTGATCAGCAGAGTTTACACGTCACGTTTTGGTAACGGTACGGTTCACTTGGAACCTCAACCGAGGTGGTACTAAAAAAACTACCAGGTACCAGGTACTGTACCCAGTGGAAAACCCCCCAAAAGTGAACCTGCGCGAGCCGTACCGTGCCGTACCATGCAGTGGAAAAGCGCCATTATATTACATACTGTAAAAAGGGGCATAATATGTCTCCTTTAAGGTTTTTATGTAGTGATGTCATAGAAGAACCATTTTTGGTTCCCTAAAGAACCTTTCAGTTTCAGTTTCAATTTGATTATTTTTTAAGGGGTGAAATATGGCCTAAACCTGGACCTGTTTTTGACAAGCTTTTTGCAAATCACCCATAAACAGCTTTAAACGCTGTCGGATTATTGTGTAAACACATTAACCTGATAAAGAAGCCTCGAACAACCTACAAAACACATGACAGTCCAGTCATAGCACACAAACACACACCTAACACCACTAATCATCGACTCATCCACTGACACACTGGCCACGCCTGTGATCAGCAAGATCCTGGATTAGTCTAACCCCTGAGTCACAGCGGCATGTCCGTTTATCTCTCTTTATCTATATGCTTCATCTCATTTTTTATTTTCAGTAGGAGTTGGTATTAATTGCGCTTCCCAGAGTACAAGTAACATGGGATTTGTAGGTGTAATTAAAGGTGCAGTCCATTATGGATTATGTGTTAGTAAAGCAGAGGAAGTCTTATTTTTAAACGGCCTGAAATTAGCTCCACTATCTATAGGTCTGTGCTCAGTTCTGGGAATGGTTTTAGCCATACAGATGAAGTTTACATAACACTAAAGATGTTGACGGTTAAAACTTCTTTTTCTTATTAATAATGCAACAAGCGATAAAATCGTATCAATTTTAACCACAACCAAAAGTGAGACTTTGAAGTGCTCAGACTGGTCAACTGTGTTAAATAAAAAATAAATAAATGAAAAAAGTAAATAAATAATAAATAAAAATGTCTTTAAATACAAAAATGCCTGTTTTAAATAAATTAAAACATTTAATAATTAAAAACTGCTTTAATTAAAAATGATAACTACTTTAAATTGTAAATAAAAAATAAAATAATTAAAAAATAAATTATAGTGTGACTGTCCTCCACCGGGATCCATTTGTAGTCATACAGTCCTTTGGCGGGCCGCGAGTCCCTGCGTGAGACGTTCAGCAGCGCTGTAATGCGGAGGTCACTGAGATAGTCCTGTCTACAGGCGTGATAGGCACTGCCCAGGTATAGGAAAGGCAAGATCTCCACCGGCCGTCCCTGAAAAATAACAACAATAAACAGACCTCAAAACTGAAACTCTCGAGACTGATTCACCACCTGAAGACAAACAGGTGCACCGTTTGACCTTATCATAAAAACTGAACAGCAGACCAAAGGTCAGACATAAAAGGACCTCAGATGTCCGTTGGATGTCTTTGAAGGCTTGTAAGGGGGCTCTTTGGTTTGGATAGATGGATGGTTGGGTTATATATATATATATATGGAGTAGTATCTCTAACCACATGGTCTTTTTTTGCATATTTCGACTCCTACAGTTAGAGGAAGTGGTTTTGGTGGAAGTGGGTTGAAATGAGGAAACAACAGCTCGCTTTCTTCTCTCTTACCTGATCATAGTCTGGTTTGTGGTGAGAACCCAGTTTGTCACAGTGACTGCTGACGCCTCTTTCACTTTTGTCTTCGCTCAGATCCACAGACTTGGTTTCAGTGCAAAGCTCGGGGTAATGGGAATGGAAGTTCTCGTAGCCTCCTGGAATGAGAAACGCGCCGTTATTATGAGTCGTCAAGGATTGTTGAGTCGTTCACCTTATCAAGAGCTTCACGTGCTGCAGTTCAGAGCTGATCCGAGAGCGAGAGTCAAGAAAAACATTCCCACCAACAGAGGGAGAGTGTTCATGAGCTCAAGAGCTTGACTTTCAGTCATCAAAATCTCCTAGTTAACCTCAACATGTCATTTGAACAAACGGAATAACTTAATTTAAAAATCTCTGTATATTTGAATGCAATATTATCACTGAAAGGAGTAAAAATATGATATATGGCTATAAATATACTGTGCTGGTTCTCATACTTCTCTCTCTGACTCATCCGTCCTTTGACGCACAAAGAAAATGTATCTCTTGAAAACCAGACAAAGTCCTGATCTGCTCCATCAAACTAAATACTAAAGCTATTTCACTATATATATATATATATATATATATTCTTTATTATAATAAAATACACACACACACACACACACACACACACACACACACACACACATAGACTTCTTTATTTACTTGTAGAAGTCTAGTAGTCTAAACAGTTTAATTTTAATTCAATTAAAATTTTATTTTAATATACACATTTATTTATTTTTCACTATACATATCACTTTATTAGTATAACAGTGTATTCCTTACAATGTAATTCTTCCATATAATTCTTCGAATTAATGATTAATTGAGACACTTGTAAAGAATTCTAAAATAGATTGAATTTTTTTAATAAATTGGTATACATCTAAACATTCAAACTATGTCAGTCAACAAATTCTTTGCTTGCTTTGTCCTGGAGTTGTCATTTTAAACGCAAACAAAACTTAAATGAATGAGACCTTAAAATATTTAAAATATTAGATCTAAACACTTCCTCTTGAGAAAACTTTTAAACAAAAAAGACCGAACAATCTTTACTCACCTTTCAGGAAGCAGATGCTCGCGCTACTCGCCAAGTGCGCCAAACTATTAATGACAATCTGAGCAATACTGTCTTTCTTCAGTTTTTGTAAATGAGGTGTGCGGTCATCCAGAGCCACGACGGCGGAGATGCTGCCCTCGCGGAGCCGAAACAGCGCTTTCTCGTCCGGGATGATGAACTGTAGAGGCACCGGACCGCCGCGGGACCTCCGGACCACCACTGAATTCAAGTTGACATTGACGGAGCCTCTGATACTGGAGCTGGAGAACGAGAAATACGGTCTACAGTCCACAATCAGACAACTTCCACACTCCTTCCGTATGATCTTCCTCAGGCGGCGACAGTCTATGCTGGAGACCTTCATGTTGGAGTGACAAAGTGAAATGTTTGTAGCAGGGACGTGGATGTTTCAGGGGTGTAGGTTGCCTACTGAACCCTGTGTGCTGAGCCTGAGTCTACATTTCCTCCAAGGGGATTCCGTCGGATCGCTTTTATATGAATGGAACCTCCGGAGCTTGACGTCACGAACCATATATGGACATGTCGACACGGGAGCGCGCGCCCGCATTCTGTTGACTGAACCCGCCTATGAAACGGCGATAGAAGCGAATACTTAAAGGGATAGTTCACCCAAAAATGAAAATTCTGTCATTAATTACTCACACTCATGCCGTTCCAAAGCAGTGAGACCTTCGTTCATTTTCAGAACACAAATTAAGATATTTTTAATGAAATCTGCATAGACAGCAACCAACTGAAATGTTCTCAGCCCCAGAAACATAGCAAGGACGTCGATAAAACAGTCCATGTGACATCAGTGGTTCAACTTCAAGTTTGCAAAGCTAGAGAATGCTTTTTGTGCACAAAGAAAACAAAAATAACATAATTTATTCAACATGTCTTCTCCCAGAGTTACATATGTGTGCAGGCTTTCCCCAGAAGGTAATCAAGCATTGTTTATCTTCTGGGGGAAGCGCAATGTCAGTCTATGCACTCTAAAAAAAATGCTGGGTTATTTTTTTTTTTAACCCAAATGCTGGGTTCAGCTTGTTGGGTCATTTTATTGGGTTGTTTTTTATATTTTTACCCAGGTGCTGGGTAGTTTTTCTGTAACTAAGTTGCTGGGTTATATTTAATGCTGGGTTATTTTTTTCTACCCAATCGCTGGGTTGAGCCTGTCTCCACAAAACCCAGCTGCTGAGTTAAAGGGTTACTCCACCCCAAAATGAAAATTTTGTCATTAATCACTTACCCCCATGTCGTTCCAAACCCGTAAAAGCTTAGTTAATCTTCGGAACCCAATTTAAGAAATTTTAAGATATTTTTGACGATATCTCTCATACTTTTCTGGGCCTTGACAGTGTTATTTACTTGGCAGTCAATGGGACAGTCACAAGCCTCCCGGTTTTCATCCAAAATATCTTAAATTGTCTTCCGAAGACGAACGAAGCTTTTACGAGTTTGGAACGACATGGGGGTAAGTGATTTATGACAAAATTTTCATTTTGGGGTGGGGTATCCCTTTAATCAGATCGTGGGATTTTTGGGTCCTCTACTGAAGAGAGCGGTTCTCAGTGCCGCCGATTAGGTGCACTTCTTCAGCAAAATAAAGGTTTGTATATATTTTATTTCATTTATAAGTCTTTGCTGTACTATAAATTGTATAATTTTACGCAACACAACATAAGGACGAGATGTCGGTCACTTCGCATGATGGAAACGCCTTATGCCTTGCATAACATAAATGGATTTTATTCATTATAATACTTTAATTTAATTTGATGTTACTGTTCTGTAATCTCAGTACTGTTTATGGGCAGGTTTTGGAGTCAGTCACGGCATCTTTCAGCTACGCGTGAAACGCAAGGCCGCGGTCTAAAGTTCGCAGTTCTCCCGCGAACAGCAGCCCATCACCGGCTCAGATTTCAGGAACACACAGGCAGCAATATAACCATTTATAAACAATAGTCGACTTAAAGGGGTCATATGATGCGATTTCAATTTTTCCTTTCTCTTTAGAGTGTTACAATTTGGCCAATCACAACGCACTGGATAGCTGGCTAATCAGAGCACACCTCGCTTTTCAGACCGATTAGTTTTGTAAAAATCGACGCGTTTCAAAAAGGCGGGGCATAGAGGAGAAACAATAATGTACATTATGTGGAAAATAATGTGTTTTTTGAACTTTAAACCGCATAAACACATTTCATTACACCAAATACACAAAATAATGTTCTTTTTAGCAGCATCATATGACCCCTTTAAATAAAACAACAAAGCATGTTGGGTAAAAACATTAACCCAACCAGCTGGATCAAAATAACCCAGCATGTGTTCTGTCCAATATTTACCCAGCGCTGGGTTGCCACATAACCCAAGTTGGGTTGTTTTTAACCCAGCATTTTTTTAGAGTGTATGTTTCTGGTTCTGGGAACATTTCAGTTGCGTTGCTGTCTATGGGAGGGTCAGAGAGCTCTCAGATTTCATCAAAAATATCTTTGTGTTCTGAAGATGAATGAAGGTCTTACGGGTTTGGAACGACACGAGGGTGAGTAATTAATGACAGAAATTTCAGTTTTGGGTGAACCCTTTAACATTGAAATCATCAGTTCATCACCGCGCTGCACATATTGTGTTATTTTCTTGTCATTCAGATCCTTTTTCCTGGAAATAACAGAAAATATTTAGAGGTATATGTGGGGTTATTCGTTGGGTTAGTACTTCTATTCCAAAAAGAAAGAATAGGATAAATATACCCAGATATCACACGTACGTCTGTAAGATGTCTGTTAAAGATTGCTTGATCTGGAAAGCATTTGCTGTGTACAAACATCTGACAGACGTCTTTAAGATGTCAGTTTTACATACGTTCTAAATCATAAACATCTTCTAATAAACGTCTATTTGACATCTGATAGGAAATGTCCTATGGACGTATTGCAGCTGAGCAAACACTCTAAAAAATACATCTTGCAGATGTAAATGCAGACATCAAATAGACATCTCCGTGATGCACGTGTGCTATGTTGAATTTAGACATCAAAACAATGAATAACATTGTCTTGGCAGCGCTAGGGAATGGTAAGTAACGCGTAATAAACTTCAGCTTCTCTCTATCCACCTGTCCTATATCCGTTCTTCATAATCCCAGGACCTCTAATGCGATTATACGTCACATCCCTCACCAGCCATGGAAATACACAAGAGACGTTTCTTTTTGCTCACCGTACATGTACACTGTGGAATATAATCAAAATAGTGTCTTATTAGCTTATATGAGCAATGGTTTTCACTGGTAAGGGCCCATCGTTTCCCAGAATGCACCCCGTGGTGAGGAGAGAGTGAGTGTGTCTGTGTGTTTGTGTGTGACAGGAAGAGCAGGCTGTTGGAGGATTACTGTGGCAGGCCGTCACCCATATGGCCCTGTGTAATCTCTGGGCTGATGACATCACAGTGTGTTGGGGTGACACACACGGCCCGCTCGCCCTCACACTCCAACCTAGCATTGGCAAAATGAATGGGAGGTGAAGATTGTGTGTAATTGTATGTTACCATGTGCATGTAGCCCACAGGAGTGAGTGCTTGTCTGTATGACTTCCCTGTAACAGGATTGTGAAGGCATTATGAGAAAAAAATATATATATTTAGGAAGTCTGCAAGAAAGTTTAATACAATCAATAATGCATCATATAATAAATAAAAAAGATAAACACTGGAATAGAGAATAATGATGTAAATATGTAAATTTGTTATGTGCTTTTGCCATTTTTATTAGTTTATTATAGTTTTTTTTATATATATATTTCTATTTACATTTATTTTTTATTTTATTTTAATTTTTTTTGCAACCTCAGATTCCAGACTTTCAAACAGTTGTATCTCAGCCAAATATTAACAAGCCATACATCAATGGAAAGCTTATTTATTAAGCTTTCAGATGGTGTATAAATCTCAGTTGGACCCTTATGACTGGTTTTGTGGTCCAGGGTCACATATGATAATGATTCAAATATTGTGGTATATTTCAAAATACCATGGTAAGGTATTGTACCATGTAAGGGTTTGTCTCATTTTAGAAACTCCTGATTTGCTTCTCCTTGTGTGAGTCATTCCCTTTCTTCTCTATCCACAATAATCCACAAGTAATCCACTCCAGTCCATCAATTAATGTCTTGTGAAGTGAAAAGCTGCATTTTTGTAAGAAACAAATCCATCATTCAGGCATTTCAACTTTAAACCACCGTTTCGGATCAAAATAGATTATAATCCATAATAAATCTGTCCCTTGTTTTCCTCTCACATCAAAATCCACCATTTCTGCTTGTAATGATGCTTGATCTGTGCATATTTCAGTCCTTAATCAGACAAGACAACTTTTTTTATGTGACAAATCAATATTATGTATAACAGACTTGATTTAAGCAATGGTTTGAAGTTAAAAATGTATATAAATAGTGGATTTGTTTCTTACAAACACACAGATTTCCGCTTCACAAGACGTTAACTGATAGACTGGAGTGGTGTTGATTAGTTGTGGATTATTGTGATGTTTTTTATCAGCTGTTTGGACTCTGATTTTGACGGCACCCATTCACTGCAGAGGATCATTGGTGAACAAGTGAAGTAATGCTACATTTCTTCAAATCAGATGAAGAAACAAACTCATCTACATCTTGGATGGCCTGAGGATGAGTACATTTTCAGCAAATTGTCATTTTGGTGTGAACTATTCCTTTAAATTTACAGGGCAATGTTCATTGCCAAACAATCATGTTTGCTTTTGTTTTTGAAGTAGAGTTCATTCCTGAAAGCACACACACACACACACACACACACACACAGGCCTGAGTCACACTACACCCATCTGACTGTATTACTGATCAATCTAATGTCACAATGCTACAGGGCACGGAAAGAGAGAGAGAGAGAGAGAGAGAGATAAATGTACCTCGCCTTCTCTATTCAGAAGAACAAAGCAACTCTAGTCAGGAGCAGTAAAAATAGCACAGACCAGGTGCTCGCAGACGCTGTCTGATTGAACTAGAAACCACATTGGGGTCCTCGCCTCGCCGTGCATCTATTTTCTGACACATATATGGAAAATATTCATTTTACACCCAGATTTTGAAAGCTATCTTCTCACTTGAATTCAGGTGGACAGTTGCTTGATATTTTCTGATTGTTAAGGCATTCACAGTAGCTCTGTTTAAAAACCTAGCTAGACAGCATTTTTAGGTAACATCCTGACGCAGGGATTTTGCAAAATCTTGGCAACAACATTCGGTGTCTGAGTGAGCGAGGGTGGAAAGCGACCGACTGATGTAGAAATCATTAACAGCAAGATGAGCAAGTGGCACAAACTCAAGTAGAGAAGATGTAGTCTTCCTCGCAAGATTCTTTGCAAATAGTTCTAGAACTGGATGAAATAAGCCAGAATAACAGCTCCAGTTGTTTATTTTTACATGCACAAGCAGATAAT